CAGCTCCAGGCTTGGAGGTCTAGAGGAGGAACTCTCAAACAGGATCTTGGGTCTTGACCGCCCCTTCCACCCAAGATCAGAAAGTGGCACGGGGTGGGGCTGCCCCACAACTCCCATTTCTTCCTCCTTTCCTCACCAGACCTCCTTCCAGCTTTTCTCACCCACATAGTATGTCTTAGTCCCTTCAGGCAAGCAGCTGATTGGTCCTGCCTGAGGTCTAACCTTAGTTCCTCATTCTGCAGCACAACTTAATTTCCCATCCTCTCTTGGGAGACAAGAAAATAATCAAAGTTGAGACGAACAGAAATTCCTCTCCTACTGCCAAACCCCAGACTGTCCTATAGAAATTGGACCTGACTTTATATCACAGCCTGGGAGGCCAAGAATTCTCAAGCCCATCCTTGGTTAAGGCACCCTCCCCACCAGGAGAGAGGACCTAGAGTAGAACAGGGAGGATACTACATCTGGCTTCAGGAAGTCTGGGCCATGCCTGAGCTCTCTGGCTCTGGGCTCACCACAGTCCTCCTCCTCCTCCCTCTCCTCTGGGAGGTTCACATGCCTCTTGGAGTCTCTCAGACTGTCAGTGGCTCTGACTTCCTAAGATCCTTCCCATTGCTCCCTACCCCTGTTCCCTAAGGCAAGCGCTCCACATCACTGATGGAATGGAACCACAGAGCCTCCACTTAGCAGGCTTCTGCAGCCTGGCTGGCAGAGGTGGGGATATGTGGGATGGTGGTGACAAGATCCAAAAGGAAGGCAGGATGGCAGCCAGGGTTAGCTGGAAGGTGTCCAGCTTGTCACAGGGTGTTCGTAACATGCACACCACATATTTTACACATGTGCACACCTTTACCTTCCTTAGCCTTCCCCTTCTAACACAGCAGATATGACTGGCTAAAATACACATGAACACCCACAGGCACACACACATATGTGCACGTGTGTTTGAACACTGGCTCTGCTTTTCTCCACCACCACTGCCATCAGGATACTCTCATGCTAATTTCTCACCAAAGCTGTCCCAACAGGTTCCTAAATGGTCTCCTTGCCTTGCTTCTTGTTCCACCTTGATCCATCCACAATTGGTTTATTTAACACAAATGTAGTGAGTGCCTACTCCAAGCCAGATACTATTCTAGACACCGAAGAGACAGCCATGAACAAGATATATGAAGTTCCCATTCTCATGAAGTTTATATTCTAGCAGGGAAGTGGAATGATAAACAAATATATGAGATGATGGTGGTAACAAGTACTGAAAATTAAAACAAATATGTGTGTGTGTGTGTATAAACTGGGGTGAAGGGGTAGAGTGATAAGAGACTATTTAAGTTAGATTGTTGGGGAGGCCTATCCAAATATGGTACTTTTGAGTGAAGATTTGAATAAAGTGAGGGAGTATGTTGCGTGGCTATCTGGGAGGAGAACATTTCAGGCTGAAGGAAAGAGTAAATGCAGCAGCCTCAGGGTGCCACTGCGCTCAGTACTTTATGGGACAGAAAGGAAGCCCATGTAGGATCAGAGAGGTGATCGATGCCTATTTTATAAACAACACTCAACTTTGCTCAGGCCCCACTAGGCACTTTAGATTTCACTCCAAATGAGATGGAAGGCCATTGAAAAGTCATGATCTCATCTTACTCTGGCTGCTTTTAGAGGGAGAATTCATGGAGGTGGACTGGCAAAGATGGACAACAGTTGGGAACATGTTATGATAACTTTGGTGAGAAATCAGGATGAGGGTGAACTGATTTAAAACAATGGCAGTTGAAGTGGAGAAAAGGAGACACAGTTTAAAAACGCATACCTGCAGACTGTCCTATAGAAACTGGACCTGAATTTGTACCACAGCCTGGGAGGCCAAGAATTCTCAAGCCCATCCTTGGTGATTTGTGTGTTTTAGTCAGTCATATGTACTGCCTTAGTAGGGGAAGCCTACTGATAGTGGCAGAGTATAGTTGACTCTTCAGGATCTGAGAATTTGAGAGACTACAGGGAGCCTGCTTTCTGGAGAAGAGCCATAGGCATCAGAGTGGATCAAGTTCAAACTAGTGGGAGAACAACTTTTAGCCTCAATGTTCAATCAGAATTAATCTCTCTTAATCTCTCTCTTACATTTATTCACATGCATGACTCAACTTATGTACATATATTTATACATTGTTGATTCATTATGTACTCTCTACATATGTAGCCCACATACATGCTCACATGCATGCTTACACACACATAAGGTATCACTGGACACCACAGACACACACACCCCACACACACTGGTTTAATTAGTTGCCTGCACAGTCACATATACGCATGCATACATAAAGTCATACACATATGCATATATATATGTGCCCACACTTACGTACATAAATGTTTTTATACCCAGGCAGCAAACTCACATATTCAAATGTACATATACACAGTCACAGACCCATTCACAGGGATGGTCATTCCCTCCCCTAGCTTCTGCCCTGTCCAAAAACCAGAAGTCCATATTCTCTCCAATTAATAAGTAATTGCAAACTTGCAAGTCTCCCACTTCTCCATTTGGAAAGGTATTTCTGTTATCAATAGGACATACTCACTCCTGGACACATCCCATTCTCACCCACTCTCAGGGAGAAAAAAAAAAGTCATTTTAAAAGAAGAGTTCTGAAATTCCCTTGCTGCATGCCTGGAGAAACCAGACCTTGCTCAGACAACTTGGGTGGGGGTAACAACAAAATTAGTGTATCCCTTCCCACCCAAGAAGCTCCCCCCAAAATACAGCCCCTTAATTTTAAAAAGAGAAATATCAATGCCAGAATCCTTCCTCCAAGAACGTCTGGGTATGACCCACCACTCCCAAACTCCAAAACAGATATAACAGATCTTAAGGCAGAGGAAGAAGCAGGAAGGGAATTAGCTCCAGTCCTGAAACCTCCTGAGGTACCCTTCTTCTACCCCAGAGGAGACCTTCATGATGTCCACTGAACCCCTCCCATCCCAGCCTGAGGGCCCTGCCCAGGGAGAGGGGAGACCAGGAGGCTAACAAAAGTAAAAGAGTGACCTGGGTTTAGAATAACAAAAGAAGCAAATGTTTAAAAACAGGAGCCAGTCAGGGAACAGGGAGGCAAGCCACAGACACTCCTGGCAGGGAAGCAGCTGCTGGAACACTGGATCATGAATAGCAGGACTCTCCAAGGGGCCAGGGAAAAGGGGGTGGACATCAGCATTCCATGTGGGGGTGGAGGGGTGACTGCTTCAGGCAGTAGCAGCAGTTCCAAAGTAAAGTCTTATCAAAGCTGTTATGTAACCAAGGGAGCTGAGTAGAGCACAAACACCTCCCCTCCCCAAACAGGCACCCACACCCACACCTACCACCTCCCAGCACCCACAGCATAAGAAAACTCAGCTCCTCTCAAGCAGCCAGAGAAGGGAGGAATCATCTTGATGAGTTACATCAAAAACATGATGGGTGAAGGGCTCCTTATTAACTAGAAGTCACATCTGGGAAGGAAGGAACTGGTTCAGTTTGAGATCCCCTAGATATCTCTCCCTCGTCTTTAACTCCCCACCACACCCAATTTCTGCCCAGTACCATCTGGAAATTCTTTCCTTCCTCTCCCTCTAAGAAGGATCCTATTTGAATATTTGATTGTGCTCTTGAGGATGGGAGGTGAGCTGCCATCACCCCCTCCTGCCTGTTGTTCCCCCACAATCTCATCTGCATGTCCTGACATTTGGCTCTCATCCCCCTGGGACAAGGGAAGGGACCTGGAGAAATAACTCCTAGCTCTAGTCCCTTCACAGTTACGAAGACAAAGCAGAAGAACTCAGATAATTGCAATGACCCTGACCGTAGGTTAGTGGGGAAAAGATACCCAGGGAACTAAGGACTGAAACCCAGAGCTCATCCCTCAATTTGAATATTTTAACTCCTCCAGATCTTCCTCTTTTCCTACTGCCCTGTCTCCAGTAGCCTCCTCCTTCTCTTCTCCATGGCACTGAACAACCCCACCCACTCCTTGATTCCTTTGCTTAGAAATCTTCCTCCCCAACAAAAGTCTTTCCCAAATGCTGCTCTGAGCTAGGGCTGGGGATGGGCAGAGCACAAGAGAGATTTGCAGAATTTTTCAGCGTCCCTGTCCTGAATTCCAAAGTATGATGAGCATGAGGATACCAACAAAATCATCCTGAACTCCTGAGTGCTGTCCACACCAGGAGTAACCAGCAAGACCCAAGTTCTCTTAACCTAGAACTGCCTTGAGCCTGAACTTTTGGAACCCAGTAGGAGAGAGGCTGGTGAAAGTACCCCTAAGCTTGTTGCACTAAAAATTTCCCCAGGGGAAGAGATCTCACAGCTACAATTTCATCTTCCATCCCTACCCGCCTCCCCTCAGAACTGTAGGATGGTTTTAGAAGAAGGGGGTGAGCAAACAGGGAAAGGGAAGTCCCTTTTCCAAATACCACTAACAACTGTGAGGCCTAAATCCACGGACGGGACCCCAGAATATTTATTTCTACCCAAGGACTCTGCCCTTGGAAAGTGGGTCATCTGGGAGAAATTTTCTAGGGAGCCCTCAGCACTGTCCGGCCGCCTTTTCATCCTTGTCCCGAACGTAGCCCAGTTCAGCACTCGGGACAGCTCCTAAGCAGCAAATCCTATAGAACCCAGTTCAGCACTCGGGACAGCTCCCAGTGACATTCCGGCTCCTCCAGAGACCCAAGATGCCAGGAAGGAGCAGGCTTTCCCCACCACACACCTTCTTTAGAGCCAAAGCCCCTCTCCCCTACCTCTCCCACACTCACTTCCAACCACCGGGGGCACCTGATACCCCTCCCTTCCCTTTACGTCCCAAGAGTGGAAAGAAACCCTGACCCTGAGCTTTCTGGAGGGAGCCTAGAGACAGGACCCCACCCACCTCCTTTCAGCCCTGAGCCTCTCAACGCCACTCACAGCTGTTCTAAAAAACACTTTCCTTCTTAACCACTACCCCCAAAATAAAAGAAATACTCACGTGGGGGCTCCCAGCCCTGTAGGCAGATGTGCTGGGGGGAGGCAGAAAGAGGTAGCTCCCCACACCCTGTTCTGAGCCCCCTTTCTGAAGGAGCCAGCTCCCATCTGGACTGGGGGGAGGAGAGAATGTGGAAGCACTGAGTGAGGGGAGGGGAGAGGGGAGGAGGCAGGAGTGGGGGACTGTGGGGCGGGGGTGTCGGGTTGGGGGCGAGGGAATCCTTTTTAATTTCATTCTCTCCCCATGTCTACATCAGCCCTGCAGGCTCAGCTCTTTAATATTTACACACAGGAAGAGAAGAGGATGAGAAATAACGGAGTGAGGGGGGCAGGGGCTACCTGAACTCAAAGGGCACAGAGGCAGAGGCCTTTGGGAGCGAAGAGCTTGGGCCCCCCACACTGTCCCCAGCCCACTCCCATTCTGAGCTCTTGACTGGAAGGGAGAAGAAGGAACCCTGGGACCATTCTGTCCCTTTGTTAACAAGACACTTTGAAGCTGCATCAGAAAAAGATCAGATCCCCACCCACATACCTGGACACCCCCACAAACCCAGATTTCTTGGGTGCCTTATGTACAGATGGCAGAGGCAGTACTCATGCACAAGCATGTTCTGATGCCTGGAGTATGCTTGCCTGTGGGCTGCTATGTGAAAGTACATGAACATGTCAGCTAGCATGTACAAGTTTACAGGAAAATGTTCTGAGTGCATTCACATGTTACCAGCCCATGCAATCAAACTGTTTGACTATATGTGTGAACCAAGCAACCTCTCCTCCCTGTCCTTTGCTCTCTAACTACAGTCCCAAGGAAAAGGCCACCTACCTCCCCAGATTGCTTTCTTTCTAGGCCCCTCCCTCACAGCCTCACTTTTTCTGTCTGTGACATGGGAAGAAGGACTGGTGGGAAGGGATGCTGCATAGAGCCCAGGGGCCTGACAAGTTATTAGCAACGATGAGCTGGCAGCTCGTTACCATAACGATGGTGCCACCGCCTCACCCCAGCTCAAACCCAGACTCCCCAGACGGCAGGAGGCCCGCTGAGCCAGCAGCCTTCAGACTGGAAGGGGGGTGGATAAAGAGGGAATTGAGACATAATGCTTCCATAGAGGAGGGTACGCAGCTGTTCTTCCTACCCCCCACTGGGAGACAAAGCTTTGACTCCACGAAGTGGGAATGATATCAGAATCTGGGAAGGTTTCCTGACCATGGGGATGTAAGACACTGGAGGAGGTCTTTGGAAGCCCCTTTCAACAAAAGCTCCTGTTATTTGTTCCCTCATCCCCTCACTCCTACCAACCAACCAAATAGGAAACCTCTCACTGAATTTCCGTCCCCTCACCTATAAAATAGGGACAATCATAATCATCATATGCCCTAAACTCCTGGAAGATTGAATCAGAAAGGTTTTAGAAGTAACTATAGACCCTCCCTAAATCAGATAAGCCCCAGAAGTTTTTCTACCTATCAGAAACCAACGAAGTGTCAGCCCAGCTAGAGGCAAAATGTACCAGAAACTGGGGGGCAGTGGGAAGCTCAGCCAGCTCAGGCCCCAACATCAGCTGGAGGACATGTGAGGTGCCAGGCAGCTGCTGACAGCAGGCACTGACACAGAATGTCTAGGACTAAGGCCTGTAGCAGCTCCAGCCCCTTTACCAGCAGGAACTCAGACTAGCCCTGGCCTGCCTCTGCAGCAGGTATGGCTAGAAATCCCCATCCCCAGGAATATCTTTGGAAAGGAGTCCCAGGTTAAAGGGTCTACAGCCTTAGAGATATTGAATCTTCATTACTTCTCCCCAAATCCCCTATACTCAGCTTTGATGGGGGTGGGGAGTTCAGGAATAGAAGGCCACCTGGGGGGTTAGAAAGTTCCTTGGCTAAGGCTAGCCTTGGGACCCACAAGTTTGTTTTGTGACCTTGGGCAGGTCCGCTCCCTTCTCTTGGCTTCAGGGTCCCCAGTGTGTAATTAAGAGGTTGGACCATGTCAATTCTAAGATTCCTTCAATGGCCATCATTCTGTATAACTACATATAAGCTCACTCTTTGGACATAAGCCCCCTGGCACAAAAGGCGATGGGCACTGCCTGCCAGATCAGTGGGGCAGTGGGGGTGGGGATGCGGGGGCTGTGTCTGAGGCTGTTCATCCTATGTTCATGTTCCTTTTAGAAACACCTGCCACCCTAGCCCTCCCAGCTCCCTTTTTAGACCCTGATTCACTGCCAACTCACGAAGCCTCTCCCTCCCTTCCCTCTTTTCTCCCTCTCTCCCTTTTAGGCATTGGCAGCTGGGTGCACAAGTAGCCCCAGCATTCAGGAAATGCTGGGCAGAGGTGGAGGGCAATGCCCCCAATGTCAGAGAGCACACAACAAGGAGTGCCACTCTCTAAACCTGGTCCAGTTCAGTTCCTTGGGTCAACAAAAGATAAGTTGGAGTCTTTCTGTACCACTGACTAGAAATGTGTGATTGTGGGAAATGGAATTCATCTCTCAAACCTCAACATTCTCATCTGTGAATTGGCATTATATTAGCTTGACACATGTGAAATGGCTGTTTTTGTAGGTTAAAATAGAACCATGGATATTGGAAATTTCATATGGCTTAACCTGATACCTGCCCTGCCTGTTCCTCAAGGCTTTTGGAGAAATAAAGAGTTGAGAGAAGAGCATTTTCAAAAGTCCTGGACTGATACAGAGGCGTTGTATTATTATTACTTCAAGGAGCTCAGTACAGACACACCTGGAGCCAGTGGGTTGAACCAATGACCCAGAACTTAGAGATTTGGGTCTTGGAACTCTGGGAGAGAGCCACCTGCTCTGATGACTAACAATAGACCAGACACTTCCACCTGGCCTCCTCAGCTTCTGGCTCTAAAGGGCCTGAGGTGACACAAGCTCCCAGGCCCCAAGAAGGAGAAACAGCACATACAGGCACACAGTCTTCAGCTCCAGGCCCACCACCACCACCAGCAGAGCCCTGCATGCAGGAAGGACACAACCAGTAGCACCACAGAAGATGCCCCAAGGTAGGTGAATGTGGAGACCAATGTAGGGAGTGTCATGAGGCTCTTGTCTGAGTCCAGGATAAGGAGTCCCTAGAGAGAAGGGATGATCTGACCTCTCAGAAGTCTGATTTCCCTGTTCCAGGTGCCACATCCCACCAAGACTTGGTGATGTGGGGGGACAGGATGGCAAAGACCAGGTGTGGGCGATTCAGAGTGAACCCTGCTCAGATACATTCTCACACAGCCAACACACACACACACTCAGTCATGCAGACCACAGATATCCGGACCCTTACAGTCAGCCACACAGGACGCACACACGGGCACACACACTCACAGAAACATACACAGCCACACACAGTGGTAACACACACACTCATTCACACACATGTCTACAGACACATGTACAGTAACACCCTCGTTGCATACAATCACTGCACGCACACACACTCACCCACAGTGACATACACTCACTGCCACACAATCACCCACAGACCCACACGATGACACACTCACACACTCACCACAGACACACAGTGACACGCACTCACACCTGCAGAGGAAACTTCTCTCCGGATCTCCCCAACATCACGACTTCCCCCCACAACCAACCAGCTACTCCCTCCCAGATCCAAGCCTCCAGCCCGAGAAGGGCTGGGCGGGGGCTGACCGGCTAGGCACGGCCCGGGCCCGGAGAGCGGGTCCTTGGTCCGTGCGGTCCCCCGCGCGTCCCTCGGGTCAGGCCCGCGGGCCTCCAGGCCGGGGCGGGGGCGGGGGCGGGGGCCGCGGAGGAGGCCCAGCCCCTCCCCCCTCCGGGGCCGGAGCTGCGGCCGCCGGAGCCCGGGGCGTGGGCGGCGCCCGGGCCGCAGCCGGGCCGAGCGTGGGGGGCGCTGCAGAGGGCGCGGCGAGTGCAGCCCTGTCCCCACCCCTCCCGGCGGCTTACCTGGCCCAGCTCCGGCTCCGGCCGGGTTACATGGTGCCGGCGGCCCGGGCGGGGGGCGCTGCGGCGACGGCCGTGAGAGCAGGGACCGGGACCCGGCACTGCGGAGCCCCCAGCGGAGGGGCCGCGCCGGCTGCGGAGCCCCGAGCGAGCGCCGAGCGGCAGCGGGCGCGGGAGCGGGAGGCGGCCAAGCCACGGAGGCTGGATTTCCCGGGGACCAGGAAGGGGAGGCGGGGGGATCCCGCCCGCGCGCTCCGCCCCCGCCCCCGCCCCCGCGCAGGGCGGCCGAGCTGGGAGCCGAGGGGAGGGAGGGGGACCAAGCTCCCCGCCCCCGCACCGGACCCAGGAGGGCCCAGGTCGCAGCCGCCGGGCGGCCACCGGGCGGCCACCGGGTCCACGAGGAGCACCCGCCGAGCTCAGCGACAGCGCTGGGGAGGCCCAGCCTAGGGTGCCAATAAGATCCCGCTCACTAGGGGCCGCGGGAGCAGTGTCCACCGAGGACCCAAAACGGGCACATAACAGTGTCACTGCCACCCACAGCCGATTTAGGCACAGGGACCTAAGCCCAGAGCCGGGAGGTTGGGGAGACAGTCACAGTCTCACATTCAAGGTCTCCTGCCCCACCGAGGCATAGTCACACTCTGAATGTCACACGTCCCCTTAGGAGACTCTCCTTCGGGTTTTCCAGGTCTGCTCCCCGACTTCAGCTCTTGGGCTTGGTTCAGGAAGCCCCCCTCTTCTGCCCCAGCCCTGCCAAGATGAGGCGCTGTGCCCGGTCTCAGGGCCACTGACAGGCGTCCCCCACCCACACTCTGCACAGTGGAGGCATCCCCAGTGTAGAAGGAGAACCCCGCTATACCTGCGGCCTTTGCTGGGGCCCCCACCCGTACCCACTGTGTCCGCCCACCTCTGGGCCCAGAGCCAGGAGCTGTGCCATGGCGGGGGCGGGGTGGGAGAGGGAAAGGGAACTGTCCGAAGCACAGCCGGTGGCTGCAGAGCCAGTACATAAGCTGCAGGAGCCAGGAGAGGCGGAGAGCTGACTGCAGCAGTCCCTGGCTAGAATCCGTCTTGGCGCCCAGAACGATGCTGTAATGGGGGGAGGGGGCCTCGTGGGGGAAGCCGCAGGGGGAGGGGCTGATGATGTGGAGGAGGGGCTGGCTCTGGATTCTGACTTTCCTGGGTGGGTGTGAAAGTTGGGGTGGAGGGCCGTGTGCGTCCTTAAAGCTCTCTTCCTCCACCTTTTCTGGTTTTGAAAACTTGAATTGGTGAGGCGTGGGTTTGAGAGGCTTGGGAGACCGCGCATCGCTCTGGGGAGAGACCCTGGATTTGTTCTGATTCAATGTTCCCCATAACACCTCCTTTCTCTCCGTATCCCTTTGGAGTCACTGCCTCTTATTCCTGTATAAAACGGCAAACTGAGGTACGGAAAGTAGAAGCCACAGGCCCAAAAGAGTTAGAACTGGGAGCCAAGTCCCAGGGAGATGTTGAAAGGTGCAACATTACATAAAGGAGCTTAGAGAGTCCTTCTCTCAAAGGAAACTGAG